GGCATGATTGGAAATATAGTATAAACTATTATAATTTCTAAATAAATGCACAACTACTCAGTTCACGTTTTTACAATACGTAAGTAGACAAATGACAAATTACAACAAATTGATAAGGCAAAATCTACATCGGCCTCGATTAAAATGGCGGATAATGACTTCGCATCTTATCATCAGTTAGCAATCTAGTTTATTATACATATCTGTGTTGCGCCCCAAGAGTATGTTGTTGGAGAAAGGCTAAATGATAATAGAAATCAAAATACTTTTTCAATTATTCCAACTAATTGTACAGCTCAATTTATTCCAACAAGACACGTTTTGAAAAATTTTTTTGAAATTAAAGATATTCTATCCGACACTTTTGATTATATTAATAAAATAAAAAGTTGTAATACAATTTTAATGAATTTTATTCAAGGTAGCCTTTGGAAAAATAAAATGAAAGAACACAATAAAAATCAAATAGTATTACCAATATTTGTTTTTTGACGATTATGAGGTAGGGAATCCTTTGGGTAGTCATTCCAGTATACATAAATTAGGTGCTATATATTTGACTGTCCCTTGTGATAGAAGCTGTTGGCTACACTGTCGTGTGTGGCGCATGTCCGTTTGGTGCTGTGTGTGACCGCTTACGGTTCTAGTTACTCATTTTTATTATTTTGTATTATATAATTATGTTATGTTTAAATGTTAATAGTTATTCATATTTGGTTATGTTTTGATGTTTATGTTGATTGTTAAGTCTCTTTTGTTAAAGTATTCGGCCCATTAAACAGTTTTATTCGTTAATGTTTATTATTCAATTTATTTCAAAGTTTATAACACTTGCATACCTATCCATCGTCAAGCTTCACTAAATAATATATTTTTAGTTTTATTGTTCCATTCAGCTGATAGACAAACATTTGGAAATAATATTATATTTAGACCACTCATTGACGAATTAAACTACTTAAAAGAAACTGGTATTGAAGTTAATACTGATAAGTTTAAAGGAAATATTAAGTTTTAATTAGGTCTCATTATAGGTGACAATCTTGGGATTCATAGCATAACTGGTTTTGTGGAAAGTTTTTCATCAAATTATCCTTGCAGAATGTGTAAAATTAAAAAAGAAGACATGAAAAAGCAATGCTATGTTGATATAAACTTGCAACGAAGTTGGGAACAATATAATTTAGATGTAATTGATGGTGATGTTACTAGAAGTGGAATAAAAGAGGCTTGTATTTGGCATGATATAAAAAATTTTAGAGTATTAGACCAAGTAGGAGTAGATATAATGCACGATTTATTGGAAGGGGTTTGTAAATATGATATGACGTTTTTAGTATTTTATTATGTTTATGATTTAAAATTGTTCTCCTTGGAAGTACTTAATGATAGAATACTTAGTTTTGATTATGGGCCTGATAAAGGCAGCAAGCCTACTGTATTAAATGTAGAAAATATTCGCAAGCATAATATTCGTCTTTCTGCATCTGAAATGATGACATTAGTTCGTTATTTTGGTTTACTTATTGGAGATTTTATTCCAAGAAACGATCCGGTATGGTACCTTTATATCCTTTTGAGGCAAATTCTTGACTTAATTACTTCCTTGTCGTTTCAAAAAGGGTGTTGTGAACTTCTACAAACTCTGATAGCTGAACACCATGATCTATATTTAAAATATAGTAATCTATATCTTAAACCAAAATACCATTTTATGTTGAATTATCATACATTATTGAAAAAATTTGGGCCCCTTGTTTCTTTATGGTCAATGCGAATCGTAGCAAAACACCGAATTTCAAAAATATCTGTTAACACTTCTAGCAACAGGCGTAACATATGTAAAACACTTGCGATTAAGCATCAGTTGCAGTTAAATGATATGTTCCTTAAAGGCACTTTAAGTAATGAAATTGAAATAGGTCCATCTAAATTTATCATTGATTCAGAGGTGGAAGAAATAAAAAGACATAATATTCAAATTGACTCAAAAGACTTGCTAATTAAATCGCCGTTTATTTTGGTAAAAGGCACTAAATACAAACCTAAAATGGTACTTATTTGTAATATTGAAGAAAATGAACTTCCTAAATTTTGTATAATACAACAAATTTTTCTATATGATAATAAGTATGTCATTTTTAAGTGTGTAGAACTTGAAACAATTGTGTTTGATGAACATATATTCTCTTATGAGGTAAAAGAAGAGAATAATTATCAATTTTTGTATCACCATATGTTACCTTCCTTCATTCCAAATAATATTAATATATTACCTAATGGATATAAATATGTAACATTGTGAAGCGGCATTTAGATATATTCTGTGACACTATTATATTGTATGTAACTTAAAAAATATTTATTTTTAAAAATGTAATATCAATATAAAATTGGTTATTGTTATTCATGTTAATATTATTGTCTATATTTTAGTACAAATGTATAGTTTAATATTTTGGTAAATATAGTATAAGTTATTAAAATAAAGTCATCTAAAGTTATCAATCAAATATGTACAAATATTGTTTAATTAATTTCTCAATTATTTATACACTTAAAATGTATAATAAGAAATATTGTAATTAAAAATGGAAGTTATTAATATGATTTTTAATAATATAAGTATTGATTGAAAATGTATACATAAAAATGTAATTTACTCCAAAATAAATTTTTTTTTATACCATACAATATTATGTTTTGTTTATTTATTTCAAATGTAATGTCTTTATGTTTTATTATTTTACTTTCAGTAGCCAGAAATTTAATAGAAATTTTGATACTTAGTTCTACAGATCTGAACTGTAGGGTTGACACAATGCTTTGTAACAATAAAAAGCAACATTAGTAGATTGTACTAAACTATATAGTTTAACTTACCTAGTATTATTGTAATGATTAAAGACTGAATTGTAATAAACACTTAAATGTACATGGTTGTATTTACAATTTAATGTGTGTAGCGACCAACAATTAGGGATCTACAACAAAGCATATTAGTCTATCTACATCAGTGGTTCTCAACCTTTTTTAGTTCACGGCACACTATTATACAT